TCCCCTCACCCTAACAGCACAGTTTCCAACCCTTGCAGTATTGTGTTGTGATGCCAGTCTGTGAGTCTCTCTTGAAAACCAAAAGGTGGGCTCCTTGGGGTCAGAGGTTAGGCTCTGTGCACTGACAGCCTTGAGCAGTGCCCAGCGTAATGCTGTGCTTAAAAAAAATTAAAAAATTAAAATTAAAAATAAAAAATCAGATGAATGAGAGACGGGACCTCCCCAAACACAAGGGCAACTTCAGTCAAGAACTTGACACGGTGCTGGGCACCTAGTAGGTGCTCAACAAATATTAGACATTCTGAGTTCCGCCTTTATTCTGGACTCATTCAGTTTTATTGGCTTGAGCTGAAGTCGAAAGTGTGGGGAGGGTCTCCTTTTCAACCCAAGACATCCTTCACAGCTACCTCACAGGCACTGCCATCAACCCTTTCTACAGATGAGGTGACTGAGGGCCAGCAAGGACAGTGACCGCTAAGGAGAGGCACTTGGGCTGTGAAGCCGGGCTGTGGAACAGCACCACGGTGTCCCATTGCCAATACCGAAGAGTAGTGAGTTCTCTGGGTTTTTCTTCAATTTTCCTTTTTTCTTTCCTTTCCTTTTCTTTCTATCTCTTCCTCTCTCTCTCTCTCTCCGAGATTTTCCCCCACCAGAGAGAGGAAACAAGTAAGATAGATGTGTGCCTCAAGTCCCTGATTGTAGGACTCTGTACTCCAGAAGCTTGCAGAACTGTGGGGATGAGGCCAAACACTGGGCATCCCTTGGGAATTAACAGTTTGGGCTGATTTTTTTGAAAAACCTTAACCAGGTGTCAGATGGTTCTAAATATGAGTTACTGTTCGGGGCACTGTGGGTAGCCCACTCAGATCCCCAGGGACCCTTTTAGGTTCCTTTTCCCCCTGCCCCGGCATCCACGGGCATTACCAAGGGCCGGTACCTGGGAACATCCTCTGGGAACCCCTGGGGCTTGTGACGCTCCCCCGCCGCTACACTCTGACACACACGAGCCAGGAACATGAGTCTACTTCTCACCCAGAAGCACCTTACACGCTAGAGGTCTCCACAGGTCCCTTTGGGATCTTTGGGAGCTGGCTGAGGTGGGGACTTTGCCTAAAGTCGGCCCTATCCTGCTTCGTTTTTCCTCTTCCCAATTCCCGTTTCCCCTGGGAGCACACCCTTGATGTATCCTTTATACAAATTCACGCTTCAATGTTTACTTCTGGAAGCGACCCACCTTGGGCAGTTTCTTTCTTGCAGACCTTATCAGAGCTTTTGGCATGCTATAGAGAATGATTTTTCCAAGAGGGAGGAAAAATAGGTAATGTCTTGCAAGCTCTCTTAACCCTAATTAATAAAAGGGGTGGGTTGATTTTAACCCTGTTTATTAGAACCACCTGCCTGAGCTAGTGTTTTCACTGACCTCCCCGGATGCTGCCTGAACTGAGACAGAGGTTTAGGGAATTGGTCAAGGCCCCCAGCAACTCATCAGGTTTCTTCCATCCCGCTAAATGGGCCCCAGGAGCGTTGCTGAGAGCGGTGGGGGACAGGGGAAGTCAAGATGGCCAAAGAAGTAAGAAAGCCTCATTCCAAAGAATTGTAAAATTTATTGTATAAGTATTGCAGCTTTTCAGAATGTCATCATTGCCACTAATGATTATTGATACACAACAAGCGATTTCATCAGGCCTGTGGATTGGCATCCAAGTACAGAGTCTTATGCGCAGCAACGTGGGCGCAGCACCCAGCGTGCCACGGAGAATTTACATGAGTTGAACTTGAACAGAACTTGGGGAACAGGGCTGCAAAGGAGAGCGGCTCCAACGCCAAGAACGCAACGTAAAGCGTGCCGTCAGCACACCACCATGGAATCAGGCAGGCAAACGAGAACATGTCCTTCTGGGCTCTATAGATACAGCAAGATTTGAAGCAGTTTCCAGAAAAAAAAACAAAGACATAACAAAACAAAAAACAGTTTTATTTTTCCTTATCACTGGGATGTTTTGTGGATCTGGAAGCTTTGTGTGCATGTAGAAAGCAATTTGTGAAACATACAATGCACGGAGACGAGGACAGGGCATGGACTCTGTTCTCGCCCTGCCCTTGTGTTCGCTAGACATTGGGGGTGGGGGTGGGGGGAGTTTAGCTCTTTGCAAAGAACTCTGGGCTTCGGGGCAGGGGTGGGACAGGGATGGCTCTCAGGGTCTGTGGAGACCTGGCCTTTGTCGGGGGAAATGCTCTTCCTTGGGAGGAAACATGATTGAGAAGCAGGGACGAGGACTAGAGGAAGCCCAACTTGGTCCCCCTCCAACCAGCTACTGCCGAGGACCCCAAACTTTTTACTGGAAAAAGGTCTCCTCAGGGGTGCTCAAAGCCTTTTTAAAGATAATGGCATGACAGTCAACATCTAGAGGAATAAGTGCAGCCACAGCTCTGGGGTCCAGCAGAGAAACCGAGAGCTTAGCTCCAACAGTTGTTTCCAGAAACACACCCCACCGGTTTTCTTGGGATGCGCCCTGACTTTGACTAGCTGCTCTGCCATGAACCCCTGCAACTGGCATCGGCATGGCCCGGAGCCCAGGGGCGCCACAGCATTGAGCCCTGATTCCTGGGGTACGATCGGAGGGGCGGGTTCTGCCCTCAAGCCAGCTGAGGTCAGGAAGCCACTCCCCCGCCTCCTTCCGAACGCACCTCTAAGTGACAGGATTCAGAGTTTGGCTCAAGAGGACCTCGGGAACGCTTGGAGCTGCCGCTACCCACACAACCGAGAGCCACTTCTGGGCTGACAACTTCCCACGGGAGTCAAACACAGTATTGGACGAGAGGGTGGAGGGCAGCAACAGGATCGCCCGACGGAGCCAGGCACATCCCCCATGGAGGGCAGGCGGGGCAGGACACAAGAGGGCAACGGGGACATTTGAGAAGCAGCAGCAACCCTTTGTTGACCTCAAGTAGGAAGGCCAGTCCCTGGGTGATCGTGTCACTGCCCGGGGATGCCCCCAACTGGTGGCAAGAGAGCCCTGCTTCCTCATTAAGGCACTAGGCAGACTCTTCACATAAAGGAAAGATACAGTTTTTAAAAATTTTTTCTATAAATGTGTCCCTGTACCTTTTAGGACAAATTATACCGATTTCTCTGCACGACTTCTGCAAACAATCCTCTTTGAGAAGCCAAGTTTAGGCTGAAGACCCCCCCCACGGAGAGGCAGGTTTCATTGTCAAAGTCTAAGAACTTTCTGCCAAGCTGGTCAACAGACGCTCAGACTCTCCGTGTTTATCTGCTGGTCACCATGTTTCTGAAAATGTATATATAAATAGAGTTCAAAGGGTCAGAACTTCAAAAACGGTTCTCAGGGTTTTTAAGTCATAAAAAAGTTGCTTAAAAACAAGAGTTATTGCCCTTAAGCCTCCTCTGATGTTAGTCCGCTAGTTAGCAGTCTGCCAAAACGAAAAGACAGCTAGCTCTGTGCTGTCTTTCGAAAGGGGTTGGATGGGGTGCTGCTCTTCCATTGGGGGGGGGGTCACCCCATGGAATGTGAACAAGTCCTCAGTGGGAGGAAGGGGCTGCAGCTCCAGCCACTGTCCCTGGTAGATCCCAAGGGACTCCCCCCACTCCCCCATCCCGCCTGTCACCACCGCGCACACACGTGTGCCGACTCATGCATCCTCGCCAGCACACCGTCACCAAGGGGTCCTGCCACACTGAAATCTACTCAGTAAAATCCTGGTATCTGCTAGAGAGGCTATGAAAACACAGATAGATAAACACAGCAAACATGATTGTTTCCACAGGGAGAGGGGATGAAAATGCAGGAGAGCAGAAGGTCAGGAATTCTGCTTTGAAAACATAAAGCACAGGTTTGACTGTTTCTTTTGTGTTAACCCTTTTTCATATCCCGGGAGAAATCCAGGCATGTCGCTTTCTCACCTCTGGTGTTCCGTTTGGTGGCCCGTTGAGTGAGAATGGCTACTTAAAGAGAAAGACAGGGATGAGGTCAAGTTCCTAATACTTTGGGCCTTTCTGATCTGCTGGGGGGGGGGCGCTCCACCGACCTCAGCGGAAAAATCCTGGAGCCAACCCGATCACCCCAAAGCACTCCACACAAAGCAGCCACCGGAGCCCCTCTTAGAGCTGGAGAGGGGCACCTCAGCCCCTTCCCGGGGTGGGGTGGGGGTGGGGCTTCATGCTTAAAGAAACAGGAAGAAAAACTAAATTCTTCAGTAAGTTTATTTTCATCTCAGGAAATGCAAAGCCACCACCTGGAATTTGGTGCCGAAGAGTAACTTCCCTATCTCATCTGCCATCCGAAGGCTGTTCTGGACCGGAGGGGTACAACAGGTCTCCTCCGATGGGGGAATGTATAACGAGGTAATAACCTATCGCTAGCCAGAAGCTTCCACGTCACAGGAAAGTGGCCCCCTCTGGAAGCTTCTCCAAACTCCGTGTAGAGCCCGCCCTCTGCCTGACATAGACTGTGAAATTTTGACATTTCTCCCTTAAAAGTCTCGACAGACATGATAGAAGTTTCCATCAAACAAGCACTGACATATTTATATTAAAAAATAGTGCAAAAGCTCAACATTTATATAAATAACTCTAAACCCCTGCTTTGTACTTTTTTTTTCTTTACAAGGTAATACACGCTTTCTGAGTTGGCACTCCAAAATTGCCATTTTTTTTCTCTTCTAGTTCAGAAAACAACTTTTTTTTTTTAATAGGCCTCTTCTAATACAAAAATACTCCTGCCCTCACAATACAGTTTCTTTTATTTTATATATATTTATATATATAATATTGCAGATCTTTAAACAAAGGTTTTGTGCAAATATGTCTTTAAAGTTAAGTGAAATCATCATAAACAAAAGAAAAGAAGCATTCACGCACGCAGCTCAACTAGAAACATAAAAGACTAGGGTAGATTTTGTGGGGGTTTTTTTCTCTTTTGCCTTCAAGACACAGCACAAAGAAAAAACGTTTTTTTGTGTGTTTTTTTTTTTTTTTTTGCAAGCTTTCTTAGCTTGTGCATTCAGACCAGACAGAACATGTAAATATTTATACACAGAGAGAGGGGGAGAGGATGGTGACGCGCCGAACGTTGTGGGTGCCGCCCAGTCCTCCTCTGTCTTCTCGTTTAAGAGGTGCGGAGTGTTTCACCTTTTACCTCCTGCTGCCCCAGCCCGGGATTCCTAGAGAGGGTGCCCTTTCTGTTTCTCCTTCTCTTTGCTCCAGGCAGCTGTGCTCTCCAGGGGGGCGATGTGCGCGTGGTGGAGCCGGGTCCCCTCTAGCAAGGAGGGCGGCCCACTGCTCTGCTGGTGCTGGAAGGCGGGGGACCCAGGGTAGTGCCCGATGACCTCGCTGTAGGTGGGGGGCGGCCCCTCCATGCGCCCGCCGCCCCCATAGCATGTGGCGCTGATGCCCGAGTTACTGCTGGGGGGGGCAGGGGCCGCCCAACATGGCATTGTCCATCAGGTCGCTGTCGAAGATGGTTCTGTTCGGGGGCGCGCGCACCGACTCCCGGTTCAGCTCCAGCTGCTGCTCGGGGTCCCGCAGCTGGAGGGTGCAGGGGCCCTGGTACGGCGGGGGCTCCTCCCCGTCCGACAGCGAGATGGTGGGCGGCAGGTCAATCTCGTGCTGCAGGTAGGGGTACGTGGGCTGGAAGCGGTGGAAGCGGTCCCGCTGCGTGAAGGGGGGCACGGCCAGACGGTCGGTGGGCCTCGGAGGGGCATAGACCTGCGGCTGGAGGGGGCAGAGCAGAGTGAGGGCCCCACAGAAGCAGGACCCGAGGCGGGGGTGGGGTGGGGTGGGGGTGGAGGTGGGGTTTCCGGCTGCCCGACTCTCTGCTCTCTGCGGAGGGAGAACCTGCAGCAGTGGGCACCGCTGAGCGGGGAGTCCAGCCCTGGCCCGCCGCTGGAGAGCCCCGGCTAGGAACTTCATGACGGAGCTGAAATAGAGGCAACTTTTGTCCTCCACGTTGCAGACACCAGGGTCCGCTCCCCGCGGGCAGGGCGCAGGTAACATCCTCCTGCAGAGGATCCGGGCAGCCAAGGACAGTTCTTCAGAGAAGGGCACAGGTGTGAGCCCAGCAGCCACCGGAGGCACCTCTGGCTTGGAAAGGGGACCCCGTGGGCAGATGGCCTCAGGCATCCACCTCAGCACCTTGGGGGACAGGGAGGGGACCGGAGGCGGCGCAGGGTCTCACCTCTGGGATTCCGTTGCCTGACACTGTGCTCTCTGAGGGCCAGAGGCATCCTTCCTGTGTGGGGAGGAGAGGAGCAGGGTCAGTGGGAGGAACAGAGGAGGACGCCAAAGAGTTAACTGGCTTTGACCCTGGGGTCTTCTATTCGCAAACAGAGCTGGCAGCCAACCACTCCTTTCCATCCCCACCCGTCCACCCGTGCACCCGTCCACCCTGGCCTGGGCCCCCACCATGTCTCAGTCAGGACCACAACGGCCTTGTCACTGATCTCTCAGTTCTCTGCACTGTCCCCTGAAAATTCAACCCCCCACCCACACTTTCCAGAACCAGACATTTGATTTGTGGGCCCCTCCTCAAAACCCTCCAGGAGCTTCCCCTGCACCTTCGAATGGGTCCACATGAGCTCGTTAAGTGGCTGATGAGGAAGCCTGGCGTGATCTAGCCCTCCTGTAAGCTGGCCCACGTGCTCGCAGTGCGACCTTGGCAAGTTACTTAACTCCCAGAACTTTCACAAGGTAGAATATGCCTGGAGTGCTTGCAGCACTCTGTGACTTCATGGAAGTGCTGGGGGCCATGTGGACATGCTCTCCAGCTCCGTGCTATGCACGGCCCCGAGGGCCTTTGCACCGGCCACCCTGCTGCCCGGCCAGCCCCGAAGACTTCCCCTGACAACACTGTTTAAAGAGCTCTCCCCCAGTAACAACCCTGCCGTGGGCTAACTTCCTTCCCAGCAGCTCTCCTATCTGTAATCAACTTGTCTCTGTATTTATTTATCTCTTTTCAGTCCCCACCTGTGTATCAGGAGTCCCGTTCACAGGTGAAGAAATATGGACAAAGCTGGTTAATGAGATAAGCCAAGTGCCCTCACGTGCCTGCTCTGCCCCCAAATAAATGATCCCATCGGTCAGCAAAGGTGGAATGCGCCAGGAGTGCTGCGCCAGGCCTGAAGCTTGCTACATGGGCTCGGGGTGGGGGACATGCCGGCACACCACGTGGATTTCAGGCCCTGGGGAGAGCCCCAAGGGTCAGGGAAGGGGGACCCCCAAGCCAGGATCAGTTTGTCTGAGAGGGAAGCCCAGACAGTTATGTGGTGATAGGTCGCCCTGGTCCCAAGGGGGTGTGTGTGGGGGGGGGGAGGGATGTCTTCTTTGAATTTCACAGCTTTCCACAGATTTTAACAGATACAATAAACTGTACATCCTCTAAGTACGCAATTTGGTTAAGTTTTGGCATGGGTCTACACCAGAGATCCATCGCTCCAATCAAAATAACGTATCTATCACCCTAAAAGTTTCCTTGGGTTTCTTGAGAGTTCGCGGGTAAGACATTCTCACCTACAGTGTGGGGCCCAAAGGTGAATGGGGGGTGTGGGGCGCACGGGTTGCCCAGAGAACGGCAGTTACCTAAACGGCCACTAGGGGGCTCTGGGGCTCTCAATGCTGTCCCACCAGGAAAGCACGCTCTTAACCCCATAAAGACTCACAGGAGTCTAGTCGGTTCCAGTGCTAGGACGTAGCAAGCAGACATGCAACCTCGCTGCTCAGGTGCTCATTGAAGGCCGTTCATTACTGGTATTAGTAATGTTTCGATCGCTGCCCTGGTGCCGGACACTGCACTAAGCACTCTTTTAAGCACCATCTCATTTCTCCCAAGAAACCCCCAAGGCAGGCTGAGGTTGGTTAGCTGAGAGCTGAGTGGGCCCAGCCGGTAAGAGGCAGTGCTGGGATTCAAACTCTCACCTGCCTGCCTCCTGACCCACTCGGGCTCAGGCGACTCCTGGCAGGCTCCGTAGCCCCCAGTCAGGCCACTGGCACAGTCCATGTGTGGGCCAGGAAGCAGATGGGGCCATCCGCCTGCTCCTCAGCAGGGTCAGGAGCCCTGGGGTGGGATGCACGCAGCCAAGGCCAGCTTGGACGGACTGTGACCCAGATACACTCCTGCCTACGAGTCCCTCTGTCCCAGGGTCTGCGTGACGGGGCCAACAACCCCTTCCCACCACAGCCCCCACTCCCAGCCCTAACAGAGCGGTTATCGACCTGGCACCACACAGAAAGCTTAAGAAAACACCAATGGATGCCCCAGGAGCCCCACTGTAGAGCCCCGAACCATCCACCAGCCTCGTCACACTTCCTCCTCCAGGGGGCCCTCCAGGAACCACCCACTGCCACCCTGCCTCCCAGACTCTCATGGTGTCTCTCAGCTCCTGCATGGGCCTGGCCCACTGTATAGTAATCCAATGTCCAGCTGGCTGCCCGGGACCCGATTTAGAAGACTTGCGTGCACAGAAGCCATGTGGGAAGCGGGAGACCCATGCCAGGGCTATTTGGGGACAAAGAGAACAGAGGGTTACCCCATCCAAGGCCCTGACTCAGCCTCCAGTCTGAATCCATCCCTGACCCACGCTGAGCAGGCCTCACACACGAACGGTCTTCCGAGAGCGCTACTGGTGAAGCGGTCATTGCTGCTCAAGATGCATAAGCTTTGGGGGAATAATTAAAGCTGCAAAGGTGAGGAAATCACCTTTCATGTTTGAAAGCAAAACTCAGGGACCCCGGAGCAGCTCAGAAACGAGCAGGAGGCTTCCTGGGTGGCCAGGTGGAACGGGACATTCCCCTCCCCCGCCAACCCCAGGACAAGCCCCTTCGGGCCCAGCTTCTGCGCAACCGTGGTGGCAAGATCACCATTACGCAGTAGAGTGTGGCTTCCCCCGGCACAGCATCGGGCGGGGGAGTGACATTCTAGGCCCGGTGGCATACCTGCACCCGAGCCTCATCCTCTGACAGATGAAAAAATGGGGACACCCTGAAAAGGAAACGAAGCAGGACAGTCATGCCGGGGCAGGAGGGCCCCAGGCTGACAGTGGCCAGGTCTGGGTCTCTGTAGGAGGTCACAGGGCCCTGAGGCTCCTCTGATGCACCCTGTCTGGCAGGGCATCCCCAAGGGAGCTGCCACACTTACTTCAGGCCTAATGAGGCTCCGTGTTTACCCAGCCGGGCATCCCCATGGGCCCCTGCAGGTGGCTGGGTAGATGGGGGTGGGGACTCTCCTTTGGCTCCAGGTGTCCGGGAACCAGGGCTGGAACCGGAAACCCCGTCTGGGCACCAGGTGCCGCCCACAGGACTGTCTCCCCGGCCCCAGCGGCAGCCAGGATCCCTCGCGCTGGAACTTGTGCCATCTCCCCAGCCCCCCGGGCAAGCATCGCCTCCCCGTAACCACACACCTGGGGGAGGCAGCAGAAAGTCTAAGTCCACCCGTCTGATGGGCTGAGGCTCGGGGGGGCAAGAGGCCCACCCTGGGTGTGAGCCACCCAGCGAGATCTCCTTGGCTCCCAACATCCCCCTTGCCCTGGCATCTCAGGCAGAATGGAGAGGCCCAGGCTGTGCACCTTGCTGCCCACAAGCTGCCGGGCTTTGGGCAGATGCGCCCACCTGTCTGGGCCCCGGTCTCCCCGCCGCAGGGTGGGGTTTCCGGGCGGCTGGGAGCCGGGAGGCCCCGGGTGCGTGCGGGAACAGCAGGTGGTGCCGTCACTCGGGCAACAGCCACCACCAACAAACACAGGTGAGCCCTGGCCTTGGAAGCGACAGACTCCTTCAGAGAAGCGGCACCAAGTGCCCTCCGGACCCATGCTGAGCCTCAGGTTCGGGGCCCGCCGTGTCCCCATCGGGGAGGGGTGACAAGCAGAAGCTCTGGGCCTGATGCACCACAGCCGCAGCCTGCTGCAGGCAGAGACTCCCGAGCCTGCTGAGGACCCGGCTCAAGCCCAGACTCTGGGCCCAGCCACCCAGCCCAGGTGTCCCCCAGACCCTGGAAGCCACACCCAGCGCCACCTCCCTGCTCTGTCACTGTCCTCACAGGCTGGGAGATGGGGTCGAGCCCACAGCCCCAGGGCCACCCATGTGCCACCTTCTCCTCCCTGCAAATCCCAGCCTGCCCTTCAGACAGCCCACTGCTGCAGGCTGGTGAAATCACGCATCGCCCATGTCGGGGCAGAAACCCCCGTGGGGGTGAACTCTGCACCTGCATCAGTCCACCTGCTGAATGATGGGGGGCGGTGGGGCACAGGTCAGCCCCAAGGGCACAGGGAGTGAGGGGCCCCGGCACTCCCAGCGGCAGAAAGCCAAGTTCCCACTCGGCCGGGCCTCCACTTTGTGGTCTCGAGGTAGTAACTCTGGGGCTTCCAGGAAGCCCAATGAAGCTCACAATTCTAGTAACACGTGAAAACGCAGTCTTACGCTGAGAGGACCCCTTTCCAGCACAGCGTCCGTCCTCCCCTGCCTGGACCCAACCACTGTCACTTCCTCCTTCAGAGCTCGGCCTGAGAGACTCATCCTGGCCAAACACGGTGCTCTGGCATTCTTGGGGACAGTCACTTCGGTTCCCTTCAGAACCCTCGATATTGTCTGCTTCTGTCTGTCTGGATCTGGCCCCCAGGCGGCCACCCCATGGAGCTTGGTCACAGCCCTTCCTGCCAGCGTCTGCGAGACTTCTAGGCCGTCTGCTCCGTAAGCATCTGTCCGGTGATACACGAATGGACGGGCAGGTGCTGGACGGACAGCCAAGCGACTGAGTGAAGGGAAGTGCCTGCCCGTGGCCAGCAGTGCCCAGTCGCTGACTCCGTGCTAAGCCCCGAGTCCCCCAGCGAGTGACAGAGTCGTCCGTCTCTCTCACAGTGAATGGCCACGGATGCCCCACTTCACGGACTGGGGACTGGTCCGAGGGCGCACGGCCAGGCCCAGTGGAGCTGGGAAGGAAGAAGGTTGCGTCGAAACACTGTGAGCCCCCCGCCCAGATGCCTGCAGGGTGTGGACGGGAAGGGCCGAGGCTGCAGGGCTGTGGGCTGAGGTCCCACCGGGCCTGGACCCCGAACGGCCTCATCCATCATCTGCCCGGCAGCTTCCCAGGCAGCCGCCGACGGCCGTTCTCCTGTTCCTGCGAGCACCCCGACCCAGGACCCCGGGGCGCTGCCCTGAAGGGCATCCCGCTGGCCCTGGGAGCTCGGGCTGCGAACCGGAGGGGCTGGGCACTTACCGACGAGAGGGCATCTTCTCTTCTCCGGCCCTGGCTGTGGCGGCCGATGAAGGAGCGCGCGGACAGCTTGTAGTGGCTCAGCAAGCATGTGATCACCACGACCATCACCATCACCACCACCACGATGATGGTGATCTCCACGAACTCCAGCTCTGCTGCAAGACGGGGGCACACATGAGCCTTGGGGGACCCCAACGCGGCCACCGGCGCAGGGTCCAGCCCTTCAGAACGTTCAATCACCCCCCAACACGCACACCCCAACACTCCCAACACCCACACGGACACACGCACACCCCAACACTCCCAACACCCACACGGACACACACACACCCCAACACTCACACATGGACACACACACATCGAATCACATACACCCCCCAACACACCCCCCAACACCCACACATGGACACAAGCACACCCCAACACACAGGGCACTGAACCACAAACACACACCAACACACACCCCCAATACACACACAGACACACACACACCCAACACTCAACACACCTGAACACTATCTCACACACACCTTCAAACATACACACACCAAATCACATACACACACTCCAACACATGCACACCCCAACACTCACAGACACACACACACCCCAACACACACACACCTTCCCCAAAATACATATAAACAGATAACCCAGCCCCCCACACACCGCACACACCCACACACAAACATTTATCACACCCACCGCACACCCACAACAGGACAGGACTGTGTGCAGACGCCCCCTGCCCCCGCCCCGCCTCCCCGCTCTCCAGAGAGATGCTTCAGAAAAACTACGTCCTGGGGGCTGCATATGCTGCCATTCTCCTTTCTTTTTCTCTTTTCTTTCTTTTCCTTTTTTTTTGGTGTCGTGTTGTTTTTCCCCTCGAAGGCGGAAAAACCCTCAAGTGCTGGAAAAGGAAGAAGGTTGTTTTGGTCCTGCCAGAGCCGGGGCGGTTTCTGCTGACTCGTGCGGGTCCGTGTCAAGGCGGCTCAGCAGCTGGTCACGGTCGGTGCCAGCAGAGCCCCCAGCAGCGGGCGCGACGCCAATCACCCGGTCCCGCCACGGATCTGGGTGGGGACACGACACACAGGGCAGCAGCCAGCAGTGCCCGGACCAAGCCCCGCCAGCCTCCCCCAGCCCACGGCTGCCCACCGGGGCACAATCCCCCCAACACCCGCTGCTAACAAGCAATTAGCTGAGGGCTCCCCAGGGCATAGGTTCAAGCTCAGGGCCACTGACTCAGCTCTTCCTCCTCCAAGACAGACAAACTGCAGCTGGGGGGTTGGGGCGTGTGCGGGAGGGGGGAGCGGGGCCAGGTGGTGGAGGGAGGAGTCGGGGCAGGCAGCAGGGGTGGGGGAGTCGGGCTAGTGGCGGGTGCAGGAGAGGAAAGCAACAGGCAGCATGAGGTATGGCTGTGTCAAGGGCTCTGGCCGCTCCGCTGGACCCACCCAAACTCCAGCCCTGCGAGGGCCAGACCCTCCTGCTTCAGTTTCCCTGCGGCTCCCGGCAGGAGAAGCAACGCGTCCTATGTGGGAACGTTACTGTTCTCAAAACAGTGGAAGCTTCTCCACACAGAACCCCCCACCCCAACATCCTTTCCAAAGCCCTGGCCACCCCCTTCCTCCCACGAAGGTCCCCAGGGCACCACCTTCTCAAGCCACATTCTACGTTGGCCCAACTGCACCGGTGTTTGCCTTTCAACTGCTCACACCCACTGCTATCATCAAGCTGCGTGAGTCTGCCCACCAGGGGACATGGGGCAGTTTCTGGGCACACTGGCGACTGTCACACCGGGCACTCCGGGCATCTGGTGGGACCTCCTACAGTGCCCAGGGCACCTCATGACAAAGAACGATGGGTCAACGCCACAGCGTTGAAGAATCCCTGTCCAGGGCTGCGTGTGCGTCTGGGACACTTCCATCATCCTATCTCACAGGCAAGGACAGCAAGGTCCAGAGGTCCAGTGACAGACTCTCAGCCCAAGGGTCCTAAGCTGCTGGCTCCTCTCACGCAACCGTCCACTGGACGACCTCCTGTGCACCCAGGAATTCAACCTGGAGCCTGGGCCTTGTCTCTGGTTCCCAGGTGAGACCTCGTCCCATCTTGCTCTGGAGAGCCCCGGAGGGAGGGCGACCTGGCCAGGGACTCTGGGGAGACGGATCCTGGGAGCTGAGAAGGCTGGGGCCCTGCCCAGCAGCAGATCGGGCAGGCCTGGGTGGAACCACTGGAGGGACACCCTCACTTTCCTGTAGGAGGGCAGGCAGGCCCTCGGACCCAGCAACAGCGGCCACACCCCCTGCCTCCCCAGACAGGCTGGTCCGGCGCCTGGGCAGTCTGGTCTGGCTCCCTAGGGCAGGGCCCTGTCTGTTAGGGCCCTGGATAAAGCTGTCCATTCAGGGGACACACAGGCCTGCTTTGTGCAACCCCCACGCCCTCCCTCCTCAGAGGGGCCGACGAGGCCCCTCCCTCAGCCCCATGCACTCTTCACCCCAACCAGGATCAGGGTGGTGGGTTCCCCTCGGCCCCCTCCCCCTGCTGTCTCCAAGGACCTGCCCGCACCAGCCTGGACAAGGGAGGTGTGCGGCCGGCTGTCTTTGTCCTAGCCCCAGGCCCCGGCCCTCCCCCTGGTGTTTTCCAGGACCCAGAAGGAAGCGGAGAGACAGCAGCTGAGGCAGCCGGATGGCAAAGGGGCAGCGGGTGAGGCTCGGGCATGCCCGTGGGGGTGGACAAGCCCTCCACAGCTCTCCTGACCCCACCGGCCCAGGCCAAAAGGGCAGAACACATTCCTGGGAGAGAATCACCCCCAGAAAGGAGCGCAACGCTCCTAAAAACACGAATGTGACTACCCCGGGCCCTGGGCCACAAACCCCAGGAAACCCACAAGGCTGAAGGGCAGGAAAACTCAGAAAAAGAGAAGCCATGACTGATTTCTAGGCTACATTCTGGAAGCCAAAAGCTTGGGTGTAGGCCCAGAAGAGGAGGGGGACCCCGAGGGCCCCTAAGCCCTGCCCCAGCTGCATCAGGGGTCCTGGGCTCACTGGGTGTCAGCCTGGACCTCACCTCCCGGTCCATCCCAGCTTCCCCAGGTCAAAGGAGGCTATGGGCCCCGGGTGGTGGTGTGTAGATGAGACGCTTGGCACTCAGCACTCCCTCCGTGACTGTGATTAATGGGGGGCTCCCATCATCCCTGGACAGCAAAACAAGGGAAGCCCAAACCTATAAGCCCACACAGAGAGTGCTAAGCGGGGCTGGGCCGGATCTTTCAGGCCCAGCCCAGCCCCAGGCCCAGCGGCATGGGGGGGGCACGGAGGGGTCCAGAAGAGGACCCCAGCCAGCAGCTGGTTGACACAACCCGTAAGGCAGGGCACACCTCTGGGCTGGCTGTGTTGGCCTTGGCCGTGGGGTGAGGGGATCTGGTCCCGCTGACAGCACCTCCATGCACTTTCCCTCAGGGGGCTTCTTCCAGGAGACACCACCTTTGGGGGGCAGAACCCGCTTCTCCAGCAAAGGCGCCAGGAAAGCACCTGTTGGGAGAGGTGGCCAACTGTGGGCCATATGTGCCCCCCACCCAGCCATCATCCCCCCACCAAGGAACAGAGCTGCGGGCGGCGGCTGCCTCCTTTCTACCAGCTTGTGCTGTCTGCGGGGCCCTGCTGGGCAGCTCAGGCTTCGGCACCTCTCCCGCATCCAGGCAGGCACCACAGACCAAGCCTCAGCCTCCTCTCCCCAGGCAGGCGCGACTCGTGGAAACCCCAGCCACCGAACGGGTCGGTGCCGCAGGCAAGCCGGCTGCGTGCGGTCACACCTCCCGATCTCTCCAGAACCAGGAACCGTCTAGGAAGCTCCCTGGCCTTTAACTGGCAACACATTCAGGAGTTTTGTTTTGTTTTGTCTTAGAAGAGTTTGAAAGCCCTGGGTAGGCTGAAGCCTGCAGGGCAGTGGCCTGGGGATTTCCAGCCACTCGAGGAGCCCGAGGGACTCGGTTGCTAAGGGCAGACAGAGGGCCACACTGACGCCGCCTCAGCTCCTTCAGTCTGACAGATGTCCCCTCTACCTGCACAAAGACCAGAGGCCCAGCGCCGAGCTCAGAGGAGTGGCTCCTACCACTGCCCGCCCCCGTCCCTGGCTTTCAAGTCTCTTGTAACCGCAGGAGTCACGCCCAAAGCCAGGTCACAGACAGAGGAGGACGGAGCAAGAGGGGGCGAACGGGCTGGTCAAGAGCCCGACCTCAGCACAGTCACTAGAACCTTACTATGATACCAATGGCGACGACGGCCGCACGGACCCGCCTCCCCACACGGACGAGCATATGGAGACGCAGGGCAGTGGGATGCCCAGACTAGGAGAGCCGAGATGGGCCTTCAACCCCGAGCCTCCGTGGCCGTCTCATTCTACTAAATTCCTGCAGCTCTCCCAAAGCATTTCTCAGTTTCCCCTCCGCACACCCGGAGCACCTGCCAGCTCCCTGAGTGATGCTGGATGTGCGGACCTCCGAGAGCCCCAGGGACAACCCGCCTTCGGGGAGGTGCAGTCAACATAAGAGCTCCGAAGGGACAGGACACAGAGGGCTCCCCTGTCCCCACGTCACAACTGCCGACACCCCTCAATCAGGCCGATGTGCTATAGATGCTGAGAGGTTTGCCCAGCCGACTGCCCGGCCGGGTGCGCCCGACTGGCCTCTGCCCCAGGGTGGGGGTTGGAAGTGAGGTCAGTCCAATATGGTCACCCCAGGGGACAGCCAGACACTAGGCCACGAGGGACTCAGGAGCACCTGCCCTGCTCCTGCTCCAAGAGCCTGGCCACCAACAGGAGCCGTCGGGAAAGAAACACATTTCCCTCATTGTGTTCTGGGAGTCAGGCCTGCTTGCTATGGGGAGGGCAGGGAGAGCGGCTCTGCCATTTTTCTTCCTAATTTCCCCCTTGGGGTGGGTGATAGACACGGCAGGCTCTCGGGGGTGGCCAAGCCCATCTTCTGCATGCAAAGTAAGGTCACTCTAATTTAATTTAGCGTCTTCTTTCCTGGTGAATAATTTCAAATTAACAGGCTCGTCTGCCTCCTCTGAGTAGCCTGACCCTCTCTTTTGTCTTCTCCTCCACAGACAGACACAGTCACTTTGAGATGTCCGCGTGCCCATCTCAGGTCTTCTTCCAG